TAACATTAATCAAACGAACAGTAATATTGAACAGATACCAGCAGTATTACTATTATTACTACTACTATTACTACTACTACTACTACTACTACTACCAAAACTGATACTGACACAAAACAAATTCTAATACTAACACTAACAAAGATTTCGACAGATCACTATTCATCAGAATAGCAGTATTAAGATTCAAACTAAGATCAAGAATAAGTCAAGACCAATATTGATATTATTATTAAGATTGAAACTAAGAATGAGACTACGGCAAGATGAAGACCGCTAATGAGGTAGTTTCTGTGTGCTCCTACCCGAGCAGATGTTTATATGCAGCGTGGGCTCTGAGATTAACATACAAGAAGAGAGAAGGGATGTATCATAAAATTTCACATAATAGCACAATGAATAGAGACTGAAAAACTGAACCCTGTTTTTTTCCACTTCGACAAGACGCGCCGAGACGGTAAATAGTGTCCATGAACACCAAATCTATCGATATTTGCAGGGGTTTCGGCTCGAATCCGGAACGGCGCCAATACAGACACGAGCAATCACATGGCCGAGGTTGGTCCTGGGGGGGGGGGGGGGTTACCATATATATATATATATATATATATATATGTGTGTGTAGAGAGAGAGAGACAGAGACAGAGAGAGAGAGAGAGAGATGTAGATATAGATATGTACATGCAGAGAGGGAAAGTGAGAGAGAGAGAGAGAGAGAGAGAGAGAGCGAGAGAGAGAGAGAGAGAGAGAAACACACACACACACAGACAAACAAACAAACACACACACACACACAATGTGAGCACACGCATGTATATGCACTCCCATAAAACGCTGGTTACGAAACATCGCTATCACCAAGCATCAACAAATCAACAAATCAATAACGCACAATGATACTGATACCAATCCTACTGTACACAATACCGTCAAGATACTGCAGTCCTGAAGTGTCCGATGCCCGACGAATACGCCACAACTCAAAAACACCACGCCTGAGCAATTTCCTCCAAAACTCAACTTCATAGCAGTCCTGTCTGACACCCTTCGAGGCACTTGTAGGAGCTAGAATCCTGAGCACATAGGCAGTGTATCCAGCCTTTGCGGTTGCCGCCGCCCTTCTTGCCTGCAGACGTGAGTAGTTCTGCATTAAAGATACTGGTACAAGTTGGGTAACCCAAGTTCGGGTCATCACTAAACCTCAAAGACCAAAGCCTCTGCTGGCATGGCTAAGAGAGCTCTGATCTTGCACGGTTCAGTGACGAAGCTTGCGCCTTCGGATTTTATCATGCTCATGGGCTCTTCGGATTTTATCATGCTCATGGGCCTCATGGGCTGATGTAGAGGCCTCGATTAAGGGAATTGGGTGGGTTGGGGTAATTTCATCAGGAAAACGACATGAGGAGAACTGAACCCGGTCCCTAAGACCATGGATCCTAATTACACCCGAAGCCCGAAATCCTGAATTTTTGAACGAACATTCCTGAACGTTGCTTAGTTCTGAATTTCTTAACTTTGACGCAGCTTCTGGCAAAAACTTGTGGGTGGGCAGGCCTCCGCCACCACGGCCCTTTCCGCCAGGGCCGCCGCCTAAGAACGGAGGTGAAGGTTCGAAAAGTCAAAGTTTCAGTTAAACAGAGAGAGAGTGGTAACGCTGAATGTAAAGCCTCGACAGCAAGATCAGTAATGTTCGGCATTTGGCGCTTTAGGGCCTAGGGCTTTGTCGCCCTTACAGCTTCTAGAGCTTTATCCTCCCCCCCATACTTAAACCACGAATAAACCCTAAAGCCAAAAAGCCAAAACCCCTAAACCCTAAACCCCTAAGCCCCCAAGCCCTACACCCTAAAGCCAAGAAACCTAAAAGCCTAAACCCCTAAACCCCTAAGCCCCCAAGCCCTACACCCTAAAGCCAATGAAACCTAAAAGCCTAAACCCCTAAACCCCAAACCCCTAAGCCCTACACTGTAAAGCCAATGAAACCTAAAAGCCTAAACCCCTAAACCCTGAGCCCTACACCCTAACCCTAAACCCTAAAAGCCTTAAACCCCTGAACCCCTTTTCAAAACCCTGAACCCTAAATCCTCCCTAAACCCCACGCCCCGATGCCAACTTGGCCCAGGGCCCCACGAGCCGCTGCTCTGCCAGCCTCGTTGGGATTTAGGCGTTTCCGAGAATTAGGGGGTCTATAGAGGTTCCTTTAAAGGGGTACTATAAGGGTTCTATGACTGGTTTAGGGTTTAGAGCTTCCGAAAATTAGGGGTACCTTATTTTGGGGGCCTTCATAATAGGGATCCTACTATTTAGGGTATTCTATTGGGGTCCCCTATTTTCGGAAACTCCCATTTAGGGGCTTAGGGAAAAAAAAGGGTTCACGGTTCGGGGCTCAAGGCTTCTAGGGTTTTGCAGGGCTTCTTTGGGGGGGTTCAGGGAAACAGGGTTCACGGTTCAGGGAGGCCTAGGGCTCATAAGGTTTTACAGGTTTAGGGTTTAGGGTTTAGGGTGGGTTTCGGGCTACAGGGATATGAGGTTCAGGTTTCATGCCGTGCTTTTAGGGCTTGCAGGGTTATATTGCTTAGGAGGGATCTGGACATTCAGGGTTTTTTCTGGTAACCTTGTTGTGGTAACTTAAACCAAACCTCCAGAAGCAGGAGCCCTAAATAACCCCTATAAACTCTTAACCCTTCAACTCCTCAAAAAGCTGTGCTTTACGGTCTAAAGTGAAGGGTTTTCCACAGACCTGCGGCTCATACCCTACCCCTTTTAGGGGTACCTACTTTGTATATAACAGCTCCTAACCATAAAACTAGGTACCCCCCAAAAAGGGGTAGGTATGAGCCTCTAGGACAGGTTAAGGCATTGGGGTTTAGGGTTGGGCTTACGAGATACACAGCTTTCTGGTTTGAGGGCTTTGGTGGTTTAGGGTTCAGGGGTGATGGCATGCTCTAGGGTGCTTGTATGCAGCCTTAATGAGGAGACCTCCCCCAGAGACCTAGAAAGCTAACTGTTCAATGCCCTGAAACACGGAAAGGTCAAGACCCTGACACACCTGCTTTTTTGGTAGCAGACAGAGCCACGCATCAACCACAGTCGCCTGGCCCCAAGAACTTCAAGCCTGAAAACAAAACCCTTGAACCCTAAACACCCCTGAATCAAAGTTCACCGAAGCACCACCAAACCCTGAACCCTAAAACCTAAAACCCTAACACACCGGACACACCAACGGCCTCCTCCCCAGCCGCCATCATCCCAGGCGTCCCAACCTTCCTCCCACTGCCCTGGCAAAGAAGTGGCCAGGCCGTCAGGTTCAAGGCAAAAAGGTCCGTTAAGCCATGCTAAGCATGCCTCTTCCCTAAACCCGTCTACCCTTAACCCTCAAACCCCTACCCCAATCCCCCCCCCCCCAATTTTGGCACATGGCTTGTTGAAGTTCCGGGCATATTTCAGGCCTTCGGGTCCAGCTGGACTTTGAAGAACAGAGATAAAGAGCATAGACTGTTGTTTCATAAGGGTTCCTTTAAGGAACAGGTCAAAAACGCATTCGAGTATGGTGCTTCGAGGTCTCGGGCTCAAGTAAGGTGCCAGGTGCCAATATCGTGTCTGAAAGTACTACTATAGGACCTTTGGAACCAAAGTGTATGCTATATAGTCACTTGCAGCCGCAGGCTCTTGGACATATCAGCTCAGATTGATCTTAAGCCTGTTCCTTAAGGGAGGGGATCCGATGGAGGTATGCAACACAAGACCCCCTTATTCTCCCTAGTGCTCCCCGTAAGGTTCCCTGACGGTCCATAGTCCCTTCCCCACCCGAAACTAGGTGGGGCTTTTAAAGCCGTTGAAAAATATTAGTAAATAAGATCCTCTTAAGCCCAATAAGGGAAAATATTAAATGTCCCAAAGCCCTACCTAGGAAAGGATCCTACAGAACGAGAATCCGGCACAGGTTGTGGGGCAGCAGATGCACGTGGACGTAAGACTGCCAGAGTTGAGAGATTGATTGCAAGCGTATGGTAGGCAGTGGCCACAGTAATATAGCCGCCTTGGTAGATTACGATTTGGTATTTAGGGTTTAGGAAGGGTCGGTTTGGGGTTCTGTGGAACCTTGTTGCAGCGAGTTGTCCCGTGAAATAAAGCAATCGCATCTGGAAGCGCCCAAGCGCGACAGCGTTTTGATTCACCCGTGCTTGTAGCAGATGCTGCAAGGAACACGCACCGGTGCATTTCAGCACCTGTTCCTTTAAACAGCCACAGATGTGCCCCTCCGGGGCACATGCAGGGACCTGATCAATAATTAAAAGTTGGCACAGCGCAGTGGCAAAACGTCCGCCATCTCCCAGAACAGTAAGCTTGCACATCGTAGCAGCGGCTCGACAAACTCTTCCCAAACCCTAAATCCCAGCACCCCCCTACAAAAGTCCCAAATCCTCCAGAACATCTTGGGACATGCGAAGGCACCCATAAACCGAGGCCTTCATCCGTGGAGCTACAACCCGAAGCCCTAAACCCTAAACCCTAAACCCTACAACCCTAAGCCCTAAACCCTACAACCCGAAGCCCTATAAACCCTGAAGCCTGCTCCCCAAACGATGGGCTTTCAATTTTGGAGTTTGGGGCCTGAGGGCTTAGGGTTGAGAGTCTACATAAGGTTCATCTTTTCGGGCTCTACCGCCCGAAGAGCATACAGATTCGGCTGTACGGGGTATAGGGTTTAGGGCGCGTTGTAGGCTGGGGTTTAACGGAGGGTTTACTGGGTGAGTTGGTACGGGTTCAAGTGTGAGCTAGGCAGCAAGCTCCCTGCCCTTGAGATGGCGAGCTGACCCGGCTGAACGAAGATGCCTTCTCTTCCCGGCTTCGCCGGCAAGGCAGTAAAAGTTTTGCTCGAAAGACTCCACAGTCTTGAAGAGAATGTGCATAAACACACCTTCCACCCTAAACCCTAGCCTATGCTTTAAACCCTTAGCCCTAGCTATAACCTTATAACTCCCTCTGACCTTCTCGTTGGCTCATGGAAAAACGCACCAGCCGGTCGAGTTCACAACGGACGAGTCGTAACCACCACCTACGCTTGCTTTGGATATTGAAGGAACAGGGCTCGGGCCTTAAAAAGGATTTAGACATTCAGGGATTCAGGGATCGGAGGTTCGAGGTTGAGGGTTTGGGTTTGGCTACTGAAGGGACCTCATTGACTAGAAAAGGGTTTTGGGCTGAATTTAAGCTGTAAGCATTATAAGGAACCCTGAGGAATAATGTTGGTAGTTGCTTGGGCTTCTATACTAGGGCATGAGAGTGATTTAAGGGTTCAGGGGTCCAGAGATTTAGGGCTTAAGGGTGAGGGCTTAGGGTTTGGTCTAGGCTACTTCAGGCGTTCATGCTCCTATCTTCGCCCATCAGGGGTCCTGAAGTCCCGAACCTCGCTCCCAAACCTGAACAATAAACCTAACCCGAAACCAAACGCCTAAGCGGAACCCAAAGCCCGGAATGCATAATCGAAAGCAGATGCACCCTCCGGCATTCACTCACAGAAAGCTCAGTTCCTGGGAAAATCTTACAAGCATCAACAATTCCAGTCAAGCCACGGCATTCCAGTCCAAAGCAGCACTCCACCTCCCGGTCGCAAAAACTGAGCCTGGGCTGGCTCATGTTCCACCGGGTACTTGGGGCTTTGAATTCCAAACCCTGAGCTAAGCCCTGTACCTTGAACCGACCCAGAAAATTTGAGGGTTTAGGGTTGTGACGTGTCCCGGCCCTTGAGCTTTGACATTTGAGCCAAGTGCTGCCTGAAACCACCGTTGCCAACATGTTCATCGGGCCTTGGCAACATAGACCTTACAGGGTGGTACTCTGGTACTGGGGCCCTGCGCAACAAGTATATACTTTGTTCGCCCCGCCAAATACCAAAACTAAGGAGGACTTGGCGGCCAACGTATGTACTATGGGGGTTTCCGCAAATTGGGGGGGAGGGGGGTACCTTAGTTAGGGGCCCTTATAAGGATCCTACTATTGGGTACTACATTGTTAGGGTACTATATTAGGGTCCCCTATTTTCGGAAACTCCCACTCTTTGTGCAAATGGAGCTGTAGCCTGAAGCCATCTTAAACCCCAAGCGCTCTAGAACTCTTACAGAACCCAAATTCAACCCTAGATACATGACCCTCTTGGGAAGTGTAAGTGCCCGATGAACAACACTTGAAGAGTTGGCCCTCTGAATCTTCGGGATACGTCGCTATAGGTGTAGGGTTTCGGGTTTAGGCTGCGGAGGCCTCCAACACCCTCCACCCGAAACTCCATTTCGGAAACCCTGCCCTGCCCTATAAAGCTTAAGCCTTACACTAGAGCCAAAACAGCGCTCCACCTGCGCCTTGCTGACACTAATCGTCCCGTCGAATCAGCGGCCCGAAACTTGCCGACACTCATGGTCGTGTTGAACATGAGCCAGGCTTTGGACTGATGATTCCCTTAAACCCTAAGCCATTTGGGGTTTCTTAACATCCAGGTGTAGGATCCTATCATGTTGCGAGCTTTGCTAAGGTCCGGTTTCAGGGTTTAGGATTTAGCTAGTTTAATTCATTTTTGCTATGAGCCTGCACTTGTCACCTCTTCAAGACGAGAGGGCCAAGACGCCTAGTGGACCTAAAGCCAAACCTCCGATCCCATTCTGAGAACACTTGGTGGCTTAGCGATGCTCAAGCCAACTCGAGAGTACTACTGTACTGTTGATGATATAAATCCTGCATTACCTTAAGGACCCTAAACTATGGTATTTATGGTATATTGCTTATTACGGGTAATGCAGGATTTATATCATCAACCGTAGGAAGCCGTTCCAAGACCTATCAGGGTTCGTGAAACATCATCGGGCACGTGGTATGGAACAGGGTGGAGGCTTCGTAAAAACCCTGATAAAACACACAATATGCGAAGCTGCTCGCAGCGCGCGCAAAGGGCGCCCTCCCTCAGTCAAACACGAATGGCAGGATGATCTTACAAGGCGTAGGGTCTACTTGTAGCCGAAAACACCTACCTTTTTGGGGTTCCTTATAATGGCTTCGAAAAAATAGTTCCTTATAATGGTTTCTATATATAGTTCCTCGAAAGAAGGTACGTCTTTTGGGCCACAGGTAGGGCTTACAGGATTTAATTGTGCGTCGCCCCTGCTCTGTCCGCAGAGCTCCCATCTAGGGTTTAATGGAGATGTTTGGAGTCTAGCGTCTGGGGTTTAGGGTTTGTGGACTGTAGGGTGCACTAGACCTAAGAGTAACCTCGGTATAAAAGGGGTGCCGTTTTTGGTTTCAAGGCGGTTATAAGGGAACCTGAACCCTAAAAACGGGAATAAGGGATTACTCTGGGTCCTAGTAGGTATATGATTTAGGATGAGGAAGGATAGTACTAGTACGAGCAACACTATTGGTTGCAAGCGGGAGGGTTTGAAGGGTTTAGCGGAGTTTAGTCCTATTGACGTCTGTTAGATGCTATGAGGGTTCAGGCTTGAGGCGAATGACAAGACTTTGTATCATGCCCATCACCAGACCCCTCAGAATCCTTTCTATGTTTGCAGGTGTGTGGTTGAGGGTTTCCGGAGTGCTATATATAAACGTTGAACCCTGCCAAACACGAGACCTGCTGCCATTAGCCGCAGCCAGCCGCCTCCCCAAACCCAAAGTCCTGACTTGCCCTACTCACCGCAATCCCCAAAGCCTAGTCTTGGCTTTTCAGTAACCAGGGAGCAAAAGGTATAAACTGTTATTTCATACTGGTTCCTGTATGAAAAAAAGTATAAACTGTTACTTCATAATGGTTGCTTTAAGAAAACAGGGTATTAAAGCATCGTACCCCAAAGCCCAGTAGTACGGTTGATGATAAAAGCCCTGCATTACCCATAATAAGGAATATACCATAAATCCATATAAATCCCATAAGTTAGGGTCCTTAAGGCAGTGCAGGATTTATATCATCAACCCTAAAGCCTAAACCCTATAGATCCCTTAAAGGAAGCCCTTAAAGGTATCCCTATAGGTCCCTTTAAAGGAACCCTAGGGATTTATATCATCACCAGTATGGTACCCCAAAGCCCAGTAGTAGGAGGGCATGGGCTAGGAAGGCCCCACACCACTGGAGCGACCAAGGGCAGCCAGTGAAAAGAGGAAGGAACCCAAAAAACAAAAAGGGGCTTTGGGTTTAGGGGTTTAGGGGTTTAGGGGTTTAGGGGTTTAGGGGTTTAGGGTTTAGGGGTTTAGGGGTTTAGGGTTTAGGGGTTTAGGGGTTTAGGGTTTAGGGGTTTAGGGGTTTAGGGTTTAGGCTTTAGGGTGTGCAAAAACACAACCCAGCCTGAAGAATGATAATGCATATCCGTTGGACGTGTACATACACATATTTATATGTCACGAGAGAGAGAGATACATGTGTATAAATAGTATATACATATGTATGTGTACATCCCAGATCCTTGACCTTGCACCTTACCTTAGACTGTTGTAGACATGAAAACTACCAGGCATCATCGCAGAAGAAATTCCAATCGTCTTCGAAAGTCTCTATGTCCCTGAAAAAACCGTTCCCGCAGAAACTATGCGACTGAGGCCTTCATGTTTATATCGCGGTATACGCCAATGTCATTCCACTTTTCCACAACTTACATCGGGGCCTAAAGCGTACGTCTTGCAGCTACAGTCACACTCTGCCACCAATCCCAAACCCGAACAGCCATCACCGCTGCGAAGTCGCACGCATTGCGCGCAGCGAAATGTCCCATTTGCCTGAAGGGTTAAAGGAATCTTTTGCTATAAGCCCAAGTCCCGGCAAATCTCGAAAGCTTTGCTGTTTTCAAGTGGGTTGGAGGATCCGGGGCACAGATGAATGTCAAAGTATCGGAAATCCACACAAAAAACACGGTCAGAAGTCACATCTGTGCCTGAACCGTTCTTGCGTTTGGGAAGGGCCCTTACAATCTGTGCCAGATATCCGTTTCAAAACCCTCGTTTCGCGTGTTGGTTGAGAGCTGGTTTAGGATTGCTTGGGGTAGGCGTTAGAATTTACAGTAAACCTCATAAAGTTGGAAACCGGATTAAAGCCAAATAGTGCTGCGATTCCCTGTACAGCACTCTGAAGGATTGAGGCTATGGGGTTTCCAACTTTTGGGCTTCTACTGTAAGCCTTAAGGATTCTTTTAGTTGGATGAAATTGGGTCTTAAGGTTTCGGGGTTAGGGTCTCACAGGAGCCAAGGACTGTTCGGGGTATATGGGTGGTTGTCAAAATTAGGATGCCTTTTTGGGTCCTTCATAATTTATACGGCACCGAATATTAAGGGCACCCAAAAGTGACCATAATTTTGACAACCGCCCCCATATAGGGTTTGTTGATCAGCTGGCATCATCCTAAACCCTAAACCTAAACCGGGCTGGCATCCCTGATGCTCCGGCTGCCCGAACTTCGCGCTGCCAGGATGCTATGGAGCTTTGGTGGTGCCCTACCCTCAGGCCCCCAAAGTAGTTCGTTTTGGGGGTTCGTATATAGAATCTATAAGGTAATCCAAAAAAGGAACTATACTTTGGGGCCTATGGGTAATGTACGTAGGAACTTGATTTAGAAACCTTGGGCCTTTATAGGGGTTCCTCATAATATGAACCCCACTTTTTGGGGTTATAGGGCCAGGGCTTCTTAATCAGAGTCCTACATTACAGTCCTAGCTGGCTCCATCCTTAAACCATGCTCCAACGGTGCGGAGTTGTTGACGAGAAAGCTGGCATTTAGACACCATAACCAGCAAGTAACCTTCAAATGTGCATGCATCTCTACCCAGAGGCTCCATAGTAGTTCCTTTTTGGGATTACCTTATAGGATTCTATATATGAACCCCAAAAAGGAACTACTTTGGAGCCTTAGGGTAGATCGTGGCTGCTCCGACGAAGTTCCTGAACAAGAGAGCGGCTGAATGTTTTTGAATCAGGGGGCCAATCACCCCTGAACCTTATTAATTTTACTATTAGTATTAGCATTAGTATTAATATGAATATTAATATTAATATTACTATAAGTATTAATATTAATATTACAATGCCTACTGACAGCCCATTTATCCACGGCACCGTGTGGAGGCACTCTGCACTGCAGCAGTTCATGGTATCGCACACCTCCCCGTTGGCAGCACCTTCGTTGAGCTTCGACCGTTCAGCTAGCGTTACGCGGCAGACTTATGGACTCCAGGATTCCCAGACCTTCCAAAATCCCTTAATTAAGGAATATACCTTATATTATAATAGGATCCCAAATATGATTTAAGGTCTATTCCTGAATTAAGGGATTTTGGAAGGTCTGGGTTACAAGCAGCGGCAGCACCTGTAACTGTGAGCTGCTGCTTCCTTGCCTAAACCCTAAAACACTGTAAACGCTAAAACCCAGGCCCAAACACCCTTACAGTACGCTTATTATGGGCCAGGCGAGGTGCAAGCTTCTTCCGTGGCGCTGTTGGCGTCCGGCGTCGCAGGCGCGGCAATGACCGGCTTTGCTGTGGTCGTGTTTGTAGCGTTCGGAGGAGGAAGGGTGGTGTTGGTGGTCGCATCCTTAGCAGTAGAGGTCATAGGCCAAAGAAGAACGAAGTTCGATCTGTCCAAGGCGTTTACGTAGGACGAAAACGTTAAACGGCTATAAACTCAAGGACTTAGCCGCTGGAGGAAGGGTGGTGGTGTTGGTGGTCGCAACCTTAGCTGTCGAGATCAGAGGCCCAAGCCACTTGCGAACTTCATAGGCCACACAAAGCAGACTTTCCTGGTAGAGGGGTTGGAATAAGCCAAGCCGAAAACAGTTAAAGTCTATAAGCTCACGTACCAAGCAAGCAGCTGGAGGAATTGTTGTGTTGGTCGTGGCATCCTTAGCTGTGGAGCCCATAGGCAGAAAAGGCCTTCTTTCATAAGGTTAAGGTGATTGCATAAGCCCACGAAGTTCACAGTCCACAAATCCCTATTAAACCTCAAACAAAAATAGTCAACAACTAAGAAGCTGGAGGAAGCGTGGTGGTGTTGGTGGTTGCAGCAACATCGGTAGGCGCAGGAGTCACCACATTGATGATGGGGGCCGGAGCCTGCAGCGCCCATGCCAAGCACAAGACGAGTCGAGGCCGCCATGGTGTGTAGTAGGGTTTAGCGAAGTAGGGTAGTAGGGTAGTAGGGTAGTGGGTAGTAGGTGGTAACCTGAGGGTCCATGTACCCAAAATACACTTTGGCCCCAATGTACCTATATAGGTGCTACTTTAAGGCCGAAGTATGTATTAATTATTTGGCCACATGGACCGTTACGGGGTGTTGGGTAGCAGTGGGTGGTAGTAGGTGTTCGCAGGCAGGCAGGTATCGCTGGGTAGATGGCAGGTAGCGGTATTGGGTAGCACGTCGCGGGCTGTGTAATGGGTAGTGGGTAACCGGTAGCAGGTGGCGAGTAGCCGGAAACAAGTAGCAGCAGGAGCAGGAGTAGTAGCAGCAGTCGTCGTAGCAGTAGCAGTAGTAGTAGTAGTAGTAGTAGTAGTAGTAGTAGTAGTAGTAGTAGTAGTAGTAGTAGTAGTAGTAGTAGTACTAGTCGTAGTAGTAGTAGTAGTAATAATAAGAGTTATTGTAAGTATTATTGTCATTCGTAGTACAATTATTAGTAGTAGTAGTAGTAGGAGCAGTAGTAGTCGCAATTGTAGTAGCAGTAGTCGTAGTAGTCGTCGTAGTAGTAGTGGTAGTAATGGTAGCAGTAGATCTGGCAGCGCTAACTCTAGGACCAGACTTGTTGGGTTAACCTGCTGATACTGGTATTGGCTTACCGGTTTACAAGGCCTTTTGGGGATGTCTAGGTCTTACAAGGACTTTAGGATACTGTGTTCTCGGGATTAAAAAGAGGTTTCTTTCACGACCCATCTTGCAAACTGAAGATCTAAAGGTTGCACGGAACCGTTCAAGGATGCTACACCCAGCCCGTTAAATCTCAAACGTTGTCTAGGTTCCTGAGTACGTAGCCCTCTTATAATAAGGGTACCCTTTTCCTACTATTGGGTTCAATAAAGGGGCCCTAGACTGAAAAGGGCAAAAGGGTACTACTCAGGAACCCAGTTGTTGTACACCTGTTACCAGGAGACAGGATTGTACCCAGCGCTCTAAAGGAGTCAAAAAGGCACACTCCCGCTGCCACCCGCAGTCGAGCCTCGTTGTCACCGGGCGGCAAATCTGGTACGATTGTGTCCTGGTTGTCGACGGGTGTGGATGCTGGTGCGACTGTATCTTCATTGTCGCCGGACGTCGGTGCTGGTGCGATTGTGTCCTGGTTGTCGACGGGGGTCGATGCGGGTGCCACCGTGTCTTCATTGTCGCCGGGCGTCGATGCTGGTGCGATTGTGTCCTGGTTGTCGATTGGTGTCGATGCGGGTGCCACTGTGTCTTCATTGTCGCCGGGCGTCGATGCTGGTGCGATTGTGTCCTGGTTGTCGGAGGGTGTCGATGCGGGTGCCACAGTGTCTTCATTGTCGCCGGGCGTCGATGCTGGTGCGATTGTGTCTTGGTTGTCGCTGGGTGTCGATGCTGGTGCGATTGTGTCTTGGTTGTCGCTGGGTGTCGATGCTGGTGCGATTGTGTCAGCATTGTCGCTGGGCTGCGGCATCGTCGTCGCATAGTACCCAGAGTGGCCAGGCTTATAGTAGCGAGGGCCAGTGACACCTCAGCTAAAGTCACACACACACTCACGCCTCCTAATACCTAGACCAAACTCTAACACGCAGATCATGCCTGTGCCACCAATGAGACGCGGACGCACGCTGCAGCAGCAACCCCTGCAACTACTTGCGAAGTCGTCCGTAAACCCGGCGCGGCGCTGCACTCATTAAACAAAAACTTCACCGTAATGTATTCGGACGTACTGTTGCTAAAGAATCCGACCTCCATAATTACTCTTATCGTAGCCCTATACGTCCAGATCCCTGGATGAGGACAGCGACTTTCGAGGAGTGGGGAACTCCTGGACCTGATGGTCTTCCCTTAAAAAAAAGGATTCGGGTCTACCTTAAGGCTCCCAAAGTAGTTCCTCTTTTGGGGGGTTCATATATAGAATCCTATAAGGTACTCCCAAAAAGGGAACTACTATGGAGCCTCTGGGTAGGGGATTGGGGGCTCAGGGTGTGCCAGACAGATCCTTCTCAACGGTTTACACTACGGGGTTCAGGGATTCGGGCGCGAATTGGGGTGCCCACTATCTGTCACTGGAATGTAATCCACCAGTCGGAAGAGAAGACTAACCCCAAAGGTTTAAGCCGGATTAGGGAATATTAGTGCTGGGATTCCCTATACATTACTCTTGAGGATTGAAGCTAGTGGATGTCCAACTTTTGGGCTTCTACTGTATACTCTGGCCTTGCATTAGGCCGAAGGTATTTGTACTATTTCGGTACATGGACCCTCAAGGACTAAAGACACCAAAGAGCCCCAAAGACCCCCAGCCCTCCCCAAGAGATTCCGATCCCTCCGACGGACATACCCGCACCCCCCTTCCCCTAAACCCAGAACCCTTAAAGGAGAGACGCCATGATGGCGCAACCGGTGGAAGAAAATGCGACGTATTGGCCGGCGGATTGGGCCCTGCAGGAGAGCGGAGGTGTCCTCCTCCTGCCAGCTGTCTTTACCCCGACCCCCGGGAGGATCTAGAAAGTAGATCCCCTCATCTGGGGCCCTAATTATACTACTGCGGGTACTTTATAGGCATTCCCATTAAGGGATCTACTTTTTGGATCCTTCCCGGGATCTGGGTAGGTGCTACTTATGTTGAAGGTTTCACGGCGTTGTAACCCTGCGGGTCCACGGCAAACTCGGCGCATGGGCTCAAGTTCTGGTGATTTGTAGCTACAGCTTAGGACTTGGGCGAGGCCCGAAAGACATGGGAGTTTCCGAAAATGGGGGGGACCCTAATATAGCACCTTAAATGGTAGGATCCTTAAATGTAAGGACCCCCCAAAAAAGGTACCCCTAATTTTCGGAAACTCCCATATGGGGATCAGTACAGCAAGCGATAGCTCATCCTCTGGGCTTCTAGGACTGATGATATAAACCCTGCATTACCTTAAGGACCCTAAATTATGAGATTTATGGTATATTCATTATTTATGGGTAATGCAAGATTTATATCATCCTAAACCCTAAACCCCAAACCCTTAAAGGAGCCCCTTAAAGGTACTCTTATTAATCCCTTTAAAGGAACCCTAGGGATTATGGGTAATGCAGGATTTATATCATCAGCCGTAGGACTGAAGCCCGTTGTGTTCAGACAGTGGCTGTCAGGTTCTCGCTTTGGCATGGCACAGGGCATGGGATGTACCTATAGCCTCCAGTGTAGTTCAGTTTTCTAGTCAACCAAACTGAACTTAAAGTACAACAGTAGTTAACCAAAGAAGGAACTTCAAGGGAGACAAAGGTAGGGCCAAATCCTAAACCCTGCACCTCTGAAGCCCCAAAGCACTGAGTCAATGCAGAGCTTCAGACTGGGAGTTCAGGCGTCGCATTCTGTTCCCACCTAAAACCAGCCTCTTTTAGAGGCTATCTTAACGGCTGTATTTGGATACTGCCCCCACCCCAGAAACTGTCGATATTAGGGGTCAGGAAACCGGCTGTTTATAATTATGTTAGAAATAGCGTCCAAGTGTTAAAGAGTGGGGTCAGTACCCAACTTGTGCTTCAAAGGACCCTATCAGTACTCAGGGGTGAGGGATTAGGCTATCATTTCTACAGACATACATATATTCTTGTGCATCTGTACAGTATACATATAGAAATATATATACACACACATCCACACAGAACTGTGACTATTTACTTATGGATTTTGCAATACACATGCTCTGACACCGCCTGGGCCTCGCAAAGCGCTTGCTCAGCCACCGCCGCCTGCTTTCAGCTCGAGGCAGAAGCGGGTTTAGGGTTGGGGCTTAGGGGGGTTTAGGGCTTAGGGATTACTTGGAGGTTCATGGGTAGTTCTAAGTGAGGTCACAAGTGGGGTAACTATACTTATAACTCTTGATTAGGGGACTTATAACCCCACATTTGACCGACCATGAACCTCCAAGTAGGTATGAGGTTTAGGGTTGGGGGTTCAGGATTTCGGGTTTAGGTTAGGGTTTACATGGGGTCAAGGGTTGAGGGTAAAGGATCGCGGGACTTAGCAGGTAAGGTGATACGGACCCTAATTGGGTTTATATGTAAGTACAGTTACTTCACTTAGCACCCGAGTTACTGCGTCCTGTTATCCTTTCGGCACCAGGACCGCCCACATGCCCGTTAATCGAGCCCTTATGGCATGGTGCTTAGTAGTGGATATTCAAGATATATCAGAGGGTAGTTCGGGGGCCTAGGTAGGGCTTTGTTTGGGTTTTACGGTGCAGGTCTTTCGATTTAGGATCTGGTGTTCGGCGTTTAGGTTTATGGTCTACAGGTCAAGGCTTTACAGTTTAGGGACTAGGGAGATGCTTTTGGATGAAGCACGGAATGGAAGACAACCTCCACCCTGTTTTGTGCCGTACAGGGCCAAAACAACACATAGTAATAAAGTACTTGTGTGGAGGGGAGAGGTGAAAGGTAAAGTTTAATTCAGTTGTATAGTTCAGTTTAATTGTACCGGGACCGCCTATTTGCTACTCCTAAACCCTAAACCCCAAACCCCTAAACCCTAAACCTCCATATTCCGCCTGGTCCGAGAACTACCATTTATCCTCAACAAGTCGACAAGCCGAACAAAGGGGCCTTAATGATTAGAATAGGGTTTTCGGCTCCTTTTTTGTATCAGTATAGTACCTATAGGGTCATACCTTACCCCTTTTTTAAGGTACCTACTTTTCTATATAAGAGAACCTAACCATAAAACTAGGTATCCCAAAAAAGGGGTAGGGTATGACCCTCTAGGTAAGGAGCCGCAAGGAATAACATTGCCAACTATTTGGGCGTCCATGGTGTTCAACACACCAGCGGCGCCAAATGGAGCCACAACCGGAAAAGCAAGAAACTAAAGCCCCAAAAGAAGCTTAAACTCCAAACCTTTAAAGCCCTACACCCTAAAGCCCTCAACCTGAAAACCATTAATCCTACAGCCGTGAACCTCAAAACTTGGGCACTGCCCCAATACAGTAACAGTCTGTAATCGGGCCTTGCTGGGCCTAATACTATCCAGCAGTTGGATCCCAACAGCCCCTTGCCCGGGCCTGGCTAACGGTGCAGAGGAAGGGCAGAAAGAGCCCAAGAGCCCGGGAAGACAAGGCCAACGTCATAGCTCCAGCTTCGCCGTCGTCGGAGGATTTTAAGGTTTCAGGGTTTCAGGGTTCAGGGTCTTGGGGGAGAGGATGGAAAGCCACTGCAGAGTAGAATAAGCCTCAAAATACCATTCCTTCCTGCTACTGCTGCCACACTACCACTGCTACTACTTCTGCTGCCGCTGCTGCAAGAACACTGAGCACAACATCTCAGCGATGCGGCGACGATTTCGGCTTGACCTTTGGTTTTGCTTTAGGACGGTTCGGTCTGAGCCAAATGGCTGCATGTGAAGGCCATCGTGGCTTTAAAGATTTGGAGCTTTCAGTGTCGGTGTAGGTTTAGGGTTTAGGGTTTAGGGTTTGGGATCGAGACAGCTCTGCAACACAACAGGAGAGGATGTAGCGGACTCCAGAACTTGCAACACCGATCAAGGATGCCTGGTGACGGAATGCGTCCTAGCTTGTCTTGAGGACAAAAACGATCGTCTCAATGCATATGATGCATGTATGTTTAAACATACACAGCCGGAACAAGTCGTACATGCAACCTCCTGCATGCACATACAAAACCCACCACCAACAATCTGTATACGTAGAAGGTGCACGTTATATACACTCACAACACCCTCGTATAAGTACCAGCATATGCGTGCAACACCCGCCCGTGCACATCATATGGATTTGTAGACTTGGGTATATCATGTGCTCTTCAAGGCTTGCCCTACAAAGCCCACTGACGGTCCAAACTAAACTCAAGAGCCTTGTCATCTGTCCATCCTCCTCCGGCAAGGCAAACCCCTTCTAAACGCAGCTATCAACAATTCTAGACCACCAAAACCCGAAGTCAACAATCTCTAAACCCCAAACCCCTAGATCATAATACAGAACCCTACCTTAACCCACCAAAACCTGCCTTTCTCTAGGTTCCTACTATAAACCCCATATGACCCTGAACCCTAAACCCCTAAACCCTAAACCCTAAACCCCTAAACCCTAAACAAGTTGGTAGAGCAGGCCTTCCCATGACTCCTCTGCCGGGGCTGTCAGAACCTTGATCGCAGCCTGCTTCTCGGAGCTTTCGACAATTTAGCGCTGTGGGTTCGGGGTGTGAGATTTAGGGTTAGGCCTAGGGTTTTGGGTTCAGGGCTTAGGGTTGGGGGTTTGATGTCCCTGCCTCGATGTAAGCAGTTTCTGCCGTGTTTTGCGCTGCCTTCTCTTACAGGGGCAGCTGCTCGCATTTTTGCGCGCTCGTGGCATGCCACCGCCCTTTTGTGCATTAGTCTACAGTCTTGCTCCGTGCATGATTAGCCCCTGAGTGGTCGAATCCGAGGTGTTCTAAGGATGTCTGAAACAGTTTGTGGGGCTTTGAGGGTTCAGGGCTCCGGGCCTACGGCGCAGAGTGGTTTGGTGTCTTCGTCCCAGCCGTGTAAATCTACCTTACCCATACAAGTAATATACTAGGATTCCCAGTAACCTAGGAATCAAAAAGGCTCCCTTTTTGGTATTGGGTAAATAAGGAACCTAGGACTACAAAAAGGGAATAAGGGTACTATACTGGGCATCCTAGCAAAGGGGCCTGTTGCACGGCAAAAGTAGCAGACATCGCACGCGCCGTATAATAACAAGGTAGACGGGAACAGAACACGAAACAAAGGCAAAGTTGTCTGTAGCCTGCCAACTCTCTCTACCACCCTGCCAAGTACCCAAAAGCCCTTCCACACCCTTACATGCACGAAATCGAAATAATGACAAAAGAATCAACCACAACTTTAAACCCTAAACCTCAACCCTAAAGCCAAAACTTTAAACCCTAAACCTCAACCCTAAAGCCAAAACTTTAAACCCTAAACCTCAACCCTAAAGCCAAAACTTTAAACCCTAAACCTCAACCCTAAAGCCACAACTTTAAACCCTAAACCTCAACCCTAAAGCCAAAACTTTAAACCCTAAACCTCAACCCTAAAGCCAAAACTTTAAACCCTAAACCTCAACCCTAAAGCCAAAACTTTAAACCCTAAACCTCAACCCTAAAGCCACAACTTTAAACCCTAAACCTCAACCCTAAAGCCAAACTTTAAACCCTAAACCTCAACCCTAAAGCCAAACTTTAAACCCTAAACCTCAACCCTAAAGCCAAAACTTTAAACCCTAAACCTCAACCCTAAAGCCAAAAACCTTTAAACCCTAAACCTCAACCCTAAAGCCAAAACTTTAAACCCTAAACCTCAACCCTAAAGCCAAAACTTTAAACCCTAAACCTCTAAAGCCCAAAAACCCTAAACCTCTAAAGCCAAACTTTAAACCCTAAACCTCAAAAGCCAAAACTTTAAAGCCACAACTTTAAACCCTAAACCTCAACCCTAAAGCCAAAAACTTTAAACCCTAAACCTCAACCCTAAAGCCAAAACTTTAAACCCTAAACCTCAACCCTAAAGCCAAAACTTTAAACCCTAAACCTCAACCCTAAAGCCAAAACTTTAAACCCTAAACCTCAACCCTAAAGCCACAACTTTAAACCCTAAACCTCAGCCCTAAAGCCAAAACTTTAAACCCTAAACCTCAACCCTAAAGCCAAACTTTAAACCCTAAACCTCAACCCTAAAGCCAAAACTTTAAACCCTAAACCTCAACCCTAAAGCCAAAACTTTAAACCCTAAACCTCAACCCTAAAGCCAAAACTTTAAACCCTAAACCTCAACCCTAAAGCCAAAACTTTAAACCCTAAACCTCAACCCTAAAGCCAAAACTTTAAACCCTAAACCTCAACCCTAAAGCCAAAACTTTAAACCCTAAACCTCAACCCTAAAGCCAAAACTTTAAACCCTAAACCTCAACCCTAAAGCCACAACTTTAAACCCTAAACCTCAACCCTAAAGCCAAAACTTTAAACCCTAAACCTCAACCCTAAAGCCAAAACTTTAAACCCTAAACCTCAACCCTAAAGCCAAAACTTTAAACCCTAAACCTTTAAACCCTAAACCTCAACCCTAAAGCCAAAACTTTAAACCCTAAACCTCAACCCTAAAGCCAAAACTTTAAACCCTAAACCTCAACCCTAAAGCCAAAACTTTAAACCCTAAACCTCAACCCTAAAGCCACAACTTTAAACCCTAAACCTCAACCCTAAAGCCAAAACTTTAAACCCTAAACCTCAACCCTAAAGCCAAAACTTTAAACCCTAAACCTCAACCCTAAAGCCAAAACTTTAAACCCTAAACCTCAACCCTAAAGCCAAAACTTTAAACCCTAAACCTCAACCCTAAAGCCAAAACTTTAAACCCTAAACCTCAAAAGCCCTAAAGCCAAAACTTAAAGCCAAACTTTAAACCCTAAACCTCAACCCTAAAGCCAAAACTTTAAACCCTAAACCTCAACCCTAAAGCCACAACTTTAAACCCTAAACCTCAACCCTAAAGCCAAAACTTTAAACCCTAAACCTCAACCCTAAAGCCAAAACTTTAAACCCTAAACCTCAACCCTAAAGCCAAAACTTTAAACCCTAAACCTCAACCCTAAAGCCAAAACTTTAAACCCTAAACCTCAACCCTAAAGCCACAACTTTAAACCCTAAACCTCAACCCTAAAGCCACAACTTTAAACCCTAAACCTCAACCCTAAAGCCAAAACTTTAAACCCTAAACCTCAACCCTAAAGCCAAAACTTTAAACCCTAAACCTCAACCCTAAAGCCACAACTTTAAACCCTAAACCTCAACCCTAAAGCCAAAACTTTAAACCCTAAACCTCAACCCTAAAGCCAAAACTTTAAACCCTAAACCTCAACCCTAAAGCCAAAACTTTAAACCCTAAACCTCAACCCTAAAACACAGAAGAAGGCCCCCGCCTCCGGGAGTTCGCCGTTCTTCGTGGGCTTGATAAATGCGGCCAGGGAAGAGGTGGCCTCTTGGGGTTGGTTTAGGGTTTAGGGTTTAGGGTTATTGGTGGTTTTAGGGTTTAGGGTTATTGGTGGTTTTAGGGTTAGGGTTATTGGTGGTTTTAGGGTTGAGGACTTTGAGATGGGAGGAGTTCATATTCGACCCTCGTAGGAGAAGTGTAAACGGTTGAGCTCTAGTTATAGTCTTTGCTACTCTTCGTGTCAACATGCGGGTGTGTGCATCGTCCCAGTGTTGTTTTTCGCAGAAATACAGGAAAGTAATTCGGTCTCCAGGGAAGGACTTGCGGATCGGTAGCCATGAACTTACTCGCGCCTGGGTCGGCGCTCTCTTCTCCTCCTGATCGTCGTCGCGTCCTTCGTGATGATTAACCCTTAATAAGGGGTCCGAAAGTAGACCTCTGATTAGTGACGCCGCCCCTCCCTATCTCAAAAGGGTTTTTTAATATTGATGCCAGGATTCAGGCCCTTTAAAAATAGAGTTTGTTAAGCAAAAGCTTATACATCGTGCAAGGCTTATTTGGGTCGGGGATATTGGGCTCCGAGTTTCGCAGCTTTGACTGGTGCACCAGCCCTAAACCCTAAACCCTAAACCCTAAATCCTAAACCTATAGGATATATGTACGGTTTATTTAGGTCTGGGCCCGGGCATAGGGTGTGTTGTAGTATCCTTAAGGGAGGGGGGTCCCTTAGGGGGTTAGGTAGCCTAGTGATCCCTAATCCTCCCTAGTACTCCCTAAGGTTCCCTTACAGTCCCCTAAGGATTCCTTATACCCTCCCCCCTTGAACCACCCTCCCTTAAGGATCCTATAAGTGTGGGACGTGTAGGATCTGGTACTTCAGGGTTTAGCACAATCCCGAAACTTAAACGCAGCCCGAATCCCCCGAAAACCACCACACCTTGAAGCTGACCCCTTAGACCCTAAACCCTAAACCCTAAACCAAAACCCCGAACCCTCAATCTCCAAACCCCAAAAACCACGAAACCGTATACTTTCAACCCCGGGGCCCTAATCCTAAATTCTACACCCTGAGTGTCTATATTTGTGTGAAGCCATTGGTAGAGCCCCATAAGGAACCCCTAGAGAACTTAGAACTCTCTTCAAAACCTTAAAACAAAAGACCTCGTGCCTAACGTCTTCTCCCTGCACCCGCCGATTCTAAATGGGGCTTCCCGAAAATGGGGGACCCTTATATAGCACCCTCAATAGTAGGATCCATATTACAAGGACACCAGAAAAAAGGTACCCCTCATTTTCGGAAACCCTAAACCCTAAACCATTCATAGAACCCTTATAGTACCCCTTTAAAGGAACCTCTATAGACCCCCTAGTAGGATCCTTATTCTAAGGGCCCCGAAAAAAGGGAACCCCTCATTTTCGGAAACTCCCAAATCTAATTCGACCAGGAACCCGGGACCTGGCACCATCGATCAGTCGAACCTTCAGAACAGAACCAGTCCCCAACCTTCGATCATAATACAGACAGCTCTGTAGTTAGAGTAGGGCTTGAAGGTATTGTATATGTATAAGTAGATGCAAAAATAGAAATAAATCAATATATATATATATATATATACATATATACATACATATATTTCTTTATTTACACAGTAGTCTAGCTGTAATAAGGGACCCTATGGAATAATGTTGGTAGTGCTCGGGCTTCTACAGTACACCGTCCTTTCCCTCGGCGAGGAGGCCCATCGTCACCCTTGCCCTTGCCTTTTCCTTTGCCTCCCGATCTTGCCAGGGCTTGCGGTTTGGTGTAGGGTTTAGGGAAGTTTAGGGTTTAGGGGTTTACGGGTTTAGGGTTTAGGGTTTAAGGTTGAGGGTCAGGGCTTGCGATTTGGTGTATAGGGTTTCGGCTTATCGAGGGTATGCGAGGGTGGAATTGTGGACAAGTCTCTGTAAAGAAATGGGTCCATGCATAAACATGGATAAACCCTGAAAAGTTTACAGCTCCCTGCATTCCCGACACTCATTCGGGGCCCAGGCGCTGTATGCTTATGCAGAACATAACATTCGGCATAACCGCTACGAAAATACTTGTCAGACTCAGCATTCAAGCTCTACCCCTAAACTCGAGATGATTAGACTCGACAGCAAACGTCGTTGAACCTGAACCAGCCTTCTCTTGGGCTCCACGTGAACTGTTGGTATACGCATCTATCTGTCTATCTGCCTACCTCTCTATCTCTCTATCTTTCTACGTGTCTCTTTATCTATCTATCTATCTACCTATCTATGTATCTATCAATCTCTATCTATCAATCAGCCAACCTATCCGTACACCTCTATACCTCCTAAGCAGGGATCACACAAAACAAAAAAAACACAAGAGAGAAGAGGAATAGTAGGATCCAGAAACTCCGGCAAGGGGCCGCCAGTAGTAAGTAGCCTTCAGTCAGAATCGCCCACAACCCAACAAAGCACAGATTGGGCAGGGTTTAGGGCTTAGGGTGACACACTGTAGCTCCAAACGAACAGTTGCAAACCCTACACCGCCAGCTAAACACCCCCACCTCAAAAACAAAACCAACGAAAAAGACACCTCACCATCAAACCAGCTCCTCCGCACAAGAAAAACACCTAAATCCAACCCGGATCCAATCCCTTAACACCAAAACTCTCAAGACTTAACCCTAAACCCTAAACCCTCAACCCCCCTTAACGTTAAGACGGGGAAGGCCTTCCCCTTTGCCTTTCTTCGAGGACTGGTCTTGCGTGAAAGCATTGCTGGAGACCTCAAGGACCAGCTTTCCGCTCAATTCGGAGTGTACTGTACATGCCTACATGGGCCTTATTTTGGGGCCCATTATACTATAGTTATAATAAGGAACCCCCCAGTAATAGTATAAAGGTGACGATTAATTAGGGCCCCTACTTGGAGGTTCATGGGTACTTATAAGTGGGGTTATAAGTAAGGTAACTATACTTAGAACCTTTATTACGGCACTAAACACTCTACTAAGCATGAACCTCCAAGTAAGAATAGTAAGAATAATGCTAATACTAATGCTGATGCTAATGCTTTAATACTTAATGCTATTTCGCATACTACATACTAGTAAGAACAATACGAGTATATAAGGTTATGGGACTCATTTTGGAGCTAAGAATCAGGTTACGGACTATGTTCGACCAAAAGTTTGGGAATAATAGGATAGGATTTAAGATCAGGGTGACCCTTGGGGGACATAAACCATCTCAATAAGGTCCCTTTCAAGAGAGCCTGAAGTAGGGTTAGGAAGGTTCCCTTTTTAATACTTAAGAGGTCACCCTACTAGCACGTAGGATAAGAGTAAGGTGATGGGGTATGCTCGACCCAAATTTAATTCGGCATATCCAGTCCCAGCCATTCAGACTCTAGACTAGGGCATCGGGTAGAGGGCTTCAGGGATTTCAGGGCCGTAGGGCTTCAGGGTCGTAGAGTTTTAAGCTATTGGGGTCTATAGGGCATTCAGAGATGGTTTCGGGTTGCGGATTATGGTCGTGATTTTTGGACCAAGACGTTGGGCCAAAGTGAAAGTCGAAACGCGAGGTCTGACCACTCAACCCTTCAGTCTTGGCGCACCGAAGCTTAAAATCTCACGCTCCAGAGGTTTGGGTGCAGTTGAGAGCCTTCGACCTACACAGGTCGCTCCGGTTCGTCTTTGGCTGTTCTTTTGCCGTTTGCTGTCTTAATCTGTGTTCTTTATCAGGTGCTTGAAGGACCGAGCTTCGGTATCCTCGCACCCCTTAACCCTAAAATGCCTTCGGGCCTGTGTCTTCACGAAGGTGGTGGCGCTGTCGTCGACGAAGTCTTGCTTGGCAAACCTCTCAGGACCGGGGACAGGTTTCTAGAAGGGTTCCTACAAGGTGTTCTATAAGGGTTCCAATAAGGCTTCAGGGTCCATGCGTCACTTCGTGGTGAAAGCTTTGATACGGATTGCATACGCTTCTTGAATGCCATTACCCGGAGGCTCCATAGTAGTTCCTTTTTGTGATTACCTTATAGGGTTCTATATATGAACCCCAAAAAGGAACTACTTTGGAGCCTTAGGGTATTGCGGTTGTGTACGGATTTGTAGGGCTTGTTGGAGTATGCGGGGCGGAGCTTCAAAAGGGCCCTGGGGCTCCGGGTGCAACATATGGATGCTTTGTGGGTACTTGGCTCTCCAGGTTGCGGTAACTTACAGTAGAAGCCAGAAAGTTGGAATATCATTATCGTAACCCCTTTAAGGTAAAATTATAGGGGGTCCTACCATTAATCCATATTCCAACTTTCTGGCTTTTACTTTAAAGAATCCCTTGCTGAACAAGGGCCCAGAGCAGTCTCCGGGCATGGATATCTGCTGGGGTCACATGGAAGTTTCAGAAAAGGTTTGGGCTACACCGCTCGCTAAACCCGAAAGCTCATCGGAATGACCTCCTAGCAGGGGTTGGCAGACTGCACATGGGTAGTTCTCCAAATTGAAGACAAATTTAGGAACCGAAAGAAGAATGCGGCACCCCTACGAAAAGAACCCTGAGAGAGACCATAATTGAGAGAACTACCGACGTGGCAAATTCTGAATGTCTAGGTGGCTGTGAATAGATAGATCTAGCTCATGGTTGGGATAGGATTAATAATTTACATGTTATTCCTAATTGGGTTTAAGTACCCATAAAAATGTAAAATGTTACCCAACTATGACAAAGAGATCATGTTGCAGACCCAACTGTCCTCAACCGTTTGTACAGCCAGTAACTAGTTAACTGTTAGACTCAATACTACAATACAGTACTATGCATGGCTACCACTCACAGCAATAGTAGAATGCATTGCTAAACCCGAAACCCCACACCTCTAGAAATCAAGGTAGTTAAAACTCCAAACCCTAAAGCCCTACACCCTAAAGCAGTTGCCTGGGTCCTGCTTCCTCTCCGCCGGCTTTATCCGAGGTGCCTGTCATCGTTACTCGTCTCGGAACTGGAACTTTGGGCTTCAATGCTTCTGTTCTGGGCTTCGGGAAAGGGTGCTGCTAGGGAGTCTGAGATTGAGGCTTGCCTAAATAGAGATTTCAGTGTCGGTCCTAGGGTAATAATAAGCAGACTGCTGACTGCTTTCGAACAAGCAATTGATGGTGCTTCAGAGTTTTAGCTTCGCTTCGTGCTTCGGATGTCACGGTCTGGATTGCACATTTCAGGGCTTCGGAAAGTTTAGCATTCGGCTCAGGAGCTCGGCTTTATTCGGGACGAGTCCGGGCTTGCGAAACTACGTTTGAGGGTTCCGACGCCGCAGCCCCCTAAAATCTTCGCATCCAGAATCCATAAAATAACAATCCAAGGCTCCCTCACTGAACATCAAATGCCAATAAACATACATCAAACTATCAAGCTCGCAAACCCAAAGCCAAATCGACCTTTCGGTGCTACAGAACGACAAAGATGCCTCAACGCTAGGAGACCACGAAGAACCCTTGTTATCCGACCTCAGCGCGCTAATCCCCTACTAGTTAGCATGCCCTGGACCCATAAAGACTTTTCGAAGCCACGCAACATCCAATGTCATGGATCAGCACACTTAAGCCCCCTTGCACCACAAAAAAGTCAGATGTTTGGATCCTTGCGCTGTGTTATCGTACAAATAGAAACAACAAAAACATGAAGAACATCACTGCTGAGCAACAAGATCTGGGTTCAAGGCTCACAATGGTTCACATTTAAATTTAAGTCAGTGTATTTAGATGTTCAGATCTAGGGTCTCTGGTTCAGGTTTAGGTGTACTGTAGCGCGACAATAAACAAGGAACGCCGCCGAATAGCAGCAACCTTCAGTTCTCGTGTCCCGAAACCCTACGACTCATGGGAAACCATCGGATCAACTTTCGTGAAACCTCCTTGCCAAAAGCCTGAGAAGCCCCGGCACGCTAAGACGCCGATATGACATGGTCAGCTCTTGAAATTACCGTCCCATCTAAGGTTCTGAATAGCGCCTTCTGTCTGGCATGCAAAGAGAGACCTAGGGCGTGAAATGTAGGGGTTCAGGGTTCGGGGTTTAAGGGTTGGGGGTGTTGGACATATTTTGGGTTTGGGCTTAAGGGTGTAGGGGTTTCGGGTTTAGGGACCCCCTTGCAGAGAAGTAAAGCGGCGGGTGGGCTCACCACAGCCTTTCCCTTGCGCCACTCGGCGCGCTCCTGCAAAACAGTTGGAAAACTAATCCTGGATAACCTACCGCTTTAAGGCGGCTTATAGCCAAATAATAATAAGGAACCCTGAAAAGGTAGGTCCTTTCGACTACAGGTAGAGAAGCCCCAGGTGTGGGTCTTGAGGAAGGTTTTAGGGGCTGTCGGATTTGAGATCGTCTTAAGCCAGGCTTATACGGTTCATGTAGGGCGCGGGGAATGTCAGTATTAAAATGTCGCACACTCAGAAGCAACTGGATTTTGGTTTTGGCTTATGAACTTGAAGCTTAGGAAACTGAAAGCCAAGCTTGTGCAGTCGAGGGTTCCGCGTGAAGGATTCCGGGGCCTAGTGTACTCTACACCTAGTACTCTACTCTTAGTCTTGGAAATCAAACTGACACGCTCGCAGCCGCTGGCACACTCCAACTCCGACAACGACTCCGAGTCAAGCGACTTCATCCTGAGGTGGTTTTCAAAAAGACAGCGCGGGCCGGCATACAAACGCACTGGTCACTGGTTCCATGTGTCTGCAAAATCTGACAGCCTCACGTTGGCTGGCGATGCGAGACGCTGAAACGCAACCACACTTAGACTTGTAATGCTTCATGTACTGCGATGCGACACTATGAGAATCCGCCTCCGACAAGGACAGTTTTCCAGACGTCTTCGTCATCAGCCCGTCTTGGAGAAAGGCGCAGTCTCTCAGTCCATCATGCAGCTCTTGCGCTTGCACCGATCGCACACGCTCGACCCTTTAGGCGGAGCTCCTTCATACGGCCTCGATTCGACAAACACCATATTTTGGGATGCCCAGTAACCTAGGAATAACAAGGGCTCCCTTTTTGGTATCCGGTAACTTTATATTTACAAGAAACCCAGGCCTACAAAAAGGCAATAAGGGTACTACTGGGCATCCTAGTATTACATGAGGAATGGACTCGAGAACCCGGCTTTCAAACTTTGGCAAGCCCTGCCCGCGAAGGGCTAGAGCCTAACATTTGTTCTTAGTTTGGGGCTTCAGGTTTAGACCTTGGGGTTTATAAGGTTTAGAGTTTAGGGTTTAAGATTATGAACTTCTTAGGCTTAGAGTTTATGGTTTGAAGGCCTGCGTTCAGGGTTTAGTCCAAGGCGAGATCGCCAACCGGCCTTCGATCTGCCTAGGCATTGAAGGTGCGGAAATGCAGAACAGGGCGGCTTAGGTTCCGGTGCACGATGTCTGGTAGTTTCCGAACATAATATGGGACCCTAATATAGTACCCTGAATAGTAGGAGCCTCATTATAAGGACCCCAAAATAAGGGTTTAGGTTTGGGTTCACCATCCAGGATTTTGGGCTTTAGGGACTTATGTCTTAGGGTTGAGGATTTAGGGGTTCGAGGTTAGGCTTTAGGGTAGGGCCTTTAGGGTTTTGGATGTGGGGTTTAGGGTTTAGGGTGTTGGGTTTAGGGTGTAGGGTGTCTGCGTAGCCTAGGCCGGGGCCTCTAACTCCAACGCAACATCCCTACTGCTTCGGGTTCGGGCTAGTTAGCCCTAGATCATAAGTCTTTGCAAAATGAGATGATTAGCTGAAAAAGTCTCCTTCATCGCATCCCGAGCCTTAAAAATCACGAGCTTACATAGACTGGCCTTTCCGACTCTACCTATCTGCGGGCTTTCAAGCATCACCTGTCCATTTCCCCCACTCATTAAGGCTCGCCAGCTCTCTATCATCCGTTCCGTGAATCCGTAAATCTGAAATCCGGCAGCCATGAAACCCGAATCCCAAAACCTTTGACCCTGAAATAGGGCCCTAACACCCGAAACCGCAACTCCAAAATCAGGGAAAGTGCTCCTCCTCCATGTTCTTCCGATGCGACGTACCCCGGGGAGCCTTTTGGCTGTAGGCCGACTGCTCTTGTTCTTATACCATGACTCAGGCTAGTGTAGTCCTGTGTCTGCGTATGTATGTGTATACATATATATATATAAATCATATGCTATCTTGCTTTGTGTAAACCGTTGTTACGGATAGCAGCAATGGTGGCAGTACTACCATAATGATACCAATATGAGCAGTAGCAGTAGCAGTGGCAGTAGTAGGAGTAGGAGTAGGAGTAGGAGTAGGAGTAGGAGTAGGAGTAGGGGTAGGGGTAGGGGTAGGGGTAGGGGTAGGGGTAGGGGTAGGGGTAGGGGTAGGGGTAGGGGTAGGGGTAGGGGTAGGGGTAGGGGCAGGGGCAGGGGTAGGGGTAGGGGTAGGGGTAGGAGGAGGAGGAGGAGGAGGAGCAGCAGGTGGTCGTCGCCGTCGTCGCATGATGATCGATGACGATGACGACGATGATGGTGATGATGTTTGTTATTAGTAGTTTGTAGGAGGTGTTCTGGGTATTTTTCAAGCTCAAGCTAACAGGGAATCTACTGCAGACTTCTGTGTGTAACAGATACTGAAGCACTCAAAACAGTGAGCCTTACGTGGGTCGAAGTCCACCCATCGAGGAGCACCCTCGCCTGGCACCACCCACAGCTGCGTTGTTTGGCCTTTGTATATATGTTATGTGCTCGGAGCAACTACTTGTCTACTTGATTTTATAGGATAGTAATAGTAGTAGTAGTGTAGTGTAGGAAGGTGCGAGGATACGGCTATTATAGGTACTTGGGCCCTCGCGGTTTGCGTCTGGGGCAGGAAACTTGAGGATTTAGGGTAAGGTTTGGGCGGTTTAGGTTTCAGGCTTCAGTTATTTTCAAGCTCGAAGATGAAAGGAAAGCTGCACCGCTCAAGTCAGGCAGTGGTAGTAGTAGCAGCAGTAGTAGCAGTATCAACAGCACCAGCAGTAGCAATAGCATGAGCATTAGCATTGGCACTAGGACAAGTCGGGCTTTGGTTCGGGGTTCACGGCTTCAGGTTTCGGCACGGATCGGCCTTAAAGATCCCTTAACTAAGGAATATACCATAACTGTTAATAGGATCCCTAAAATGATTTATGCTATCTCCTTAATTAAGGGATTTTGGAAGGTCTGGGGAGATGAGCAGAAGTGGCAAGCCGCAATTTTGACACGTCTGGTCTGCGAAGTCTGTGCGAACACATCGAGCCACCGATCCCCACTCCAGGTTTAGGGCTCCGGGTTCCGGGTTCAAAGGGCTTAGGGTTTAGGGTTTAGGGTTTAGGTGGTTGCTTAGGGGTAGGAATATGACGTCTATCGTCAGTGCTTGGAATGCTTTTCACCACACAGGCTTGGGGTTCATGTTCGGGCTTTTAGTGGTGCAGGGAACTAAAATTTCCGCACTGTAAGTGCTGCAACAAAATTCTCAGCAAGGTTCTGAATGCTGCTAGTATAAAGATGTCTATTAAATAACGCCCCCTACTCGGAGGTTCATGGGTAGTTGTAAGTGGGGTTATAAGTAAGGTAACTATACCTACAACCCCTAGCAGGGGACTTGTAACCCGACTTATAGCTACCCATGAACCTCCAGGCCCTAAACCCTCTACCCTTATAGAATCCCTATAGATCCTTTTAAAGGGACCATTGGAGGAACCTTGAGAGCGAGCCCCACATCATCCCAGACCTTCCAAAATCCCTTAATTAAGGAATATACCTTAATTCATATTTGGGATCCTATTATAATTTAAGGTATATTCCTTAATTAAGGGATTTTGGAAGGTCTGGGATTGTCCGGTTGATCCCAAGCCATGGAGAGCTGAGCCTTCGATGCAAGCTGACTGCTGCTTCGATCACGACACCAGGATGCTGCTACGTTAGGTTGGCCCTAAGCCCTAAACCCTCAGCCCTAAAACCCCTAAACCCTTGGGAGGAGTTTGAGGGAAGTGCGAGATCTAAAACCCCAAAAAACACGTCAAGTTGGAGCCACGCTAAATCCGCATGCCCTAAAGCCCTAAACCCTAAACCCTACAATCCTTAAACCCCAAACCCCTGAACCCTCGGTTCCTAAACCCTATGAACTTGCAACCCAAAATCCGAACTCGCCATCCCTTAACCCTAAGCCCTTCAAGCCATAAGACCGGTAGTCCCACAATGCTTGCGCTTTCGACCGTCCAGACGTCTCATCTCTAATCCTACCAGTTTAGGGTTCATGGGGCTTAGGGTGTAGGGTTTACGCGTGAGTATAGGGTGTATGGTTTAGGGTTTATGGGGCTTAGGGATAAGGGGCTTGCGGTTTGGGGGCTGATGGGGTTTAGGGCTGAGGGTTTTGGGTTTTGGGGTTGAGGATAATCATTTCTGAGCTGTACCCTCCTGGGCTTAACTTCTGGATTCCAACCTCTTCGAACTCAAGCTGCAGCTGGGCTCTCAGCCATACACACACAGCCAGAGCTTTCGCACCAGAAGCAGCAGCCTTTAAATGCAATGGCCTCCTCGATGCAGACATCCAAAAGTGTCCGCTCAAGGGGCCTTAATTTGGAAACAGGCCGAGACGGCATCAGGCACCTGGACGCGAACTAGGCTGATGGGAGGCCAAAAGGGGGGGTTTAAGATTCTTGGGGTAGATTCCTTCATGTGAACCCTATTATGGGAACCTAAACCCCCATAGGCTAAACCCCCTTTTGGCCTCCTATGATAGGCCCCTCATCGCCTCCCCTGCCCACCCAAAGCCCCGCGGCACGAAAGGTCGTGAAACATGGGTCGCAAGCCAACACCTACGTATCCAAGTACCCAGTTATAGGCACTGGGCTAACAGATTGATTGGGGTACATGGGATTCATGGGTAGTTATGAGTGGGGTTATAAGTCCCCTCATTATTGAGGGTTATAAGCATTATTACTTTACCTTGCTGATCATCCCGCTTATACCTACCCATGTACCGCGAAGTATTACTTGCAATTGCAGGGTACAAATTTAGGGTGCCAGGTACTGGCACGGGGGATACTTCCCCAAAATATCTACATTCTACCATATAGGCACTTTGGACCCTTTGTGCAGTTAGGGGACTATACATCGGTAGCCGTTTAAGCCGGGACTTAGTGTTCACGGCTGCGATTGCAGGGATGAGTCTTTGAAGCTTTCGTCCACCATGATTGAATTTTTCGAAGCGTGGCGCAGGTGAGGTACCCAGAAGATGGCGGCTGGACAGATTTGTGTTGTAGGATTTCGGATTTACAGCGTTTAGGACTCGGAAACATCGGGTTTGACGGATCAAGTTTCAACGACCTAGTTTCAAAGCAAATCGAATACCCGCTAGCCATTCGCGCGTGGGCTCCGGCGGAAGTCTTTAAACCTTCAAAGTATCTCCAGGCGAAGTCTGCCATACAGGTCACGTGCGTCGAAATGCAACCGATGGCAAGGATACGCCAACTTGACAATCAGAAAGTAGCATACGCCAACTTGACAACCAGAAAGTAGCAAAAGCCGCGACGGCAACCACGACGACAACAACTACGAGAGCAGCAGAAAAAGCCACAGCTACTTTCTAGTGTTGCCAATGCTGCGAGAGATACTGCAAGACTGAGACGACATATCTTCAACCAGCACCGAACACCCATGCAGCATGCAGCTCTTACGAGGTTTGCATGTGAAGATAAGTCAGGCCCGCAAAGCAACAACGAACAATCACAGAGCCAAATCGCAACTAGGGCTATGATGTCCCCGAGCACAGATTTGGGGGGGCATGAAAGAAATACAGCGTACGTGTCATATACCAGTACACGCACATGTGTGTGTGTGTGTGTGCATCTGCACCACTGCAGGAGTATACACTCGCATCAGATTTGATAGACATGCAGTAACTCAGCATCTAAACCATCATGTGTAATTGCATACATGCAGGCATACATACATACACATGCGCACACATACATACACATACATACACATACATACATCCACACATACACACACCCACACGCACACATACATACGCACATACCTACACCACGCAAACAAACAAACAAACAACTAACCAGCCAAGCACGTGTACATACATACAAAGATACAGACACACACAAATAAATACAGACATACAGACATACAGACATACACATACCTACATATGTCGACACCGTCGCATGCCGTGCTTGAGGGCGAACTTCGCCAAGAGCTGAAATGACACACTGGCTCTGACAGTGGCACCACCGCCCTACGCGCCAGAGAACACCTGAGTAAGAACCGACAACACCGAAGTCAGAGCCTCAGAGCTTCGCCGGTGGGTTGAGCCTTAGTCATAGTCAGGAGCCCCAGTGTCCCCTTATTCATTCGGGTACCCTGTTCCTCCTATGCAACTGTAATAATGGAACTGTAACTGAAAAGGGCAACTCTAGGGTGCTCCTGAGGAACCTAGTTTAGGGTTTCAGGTTTTGGCTTGGGGCTTTAGATGGAGGGTTTGTGGGTTTAGGATTTAACGGGCATGGGGGTTGGATTTTCAGAGATTAATTGGAACCTGCATTTCATGTGATTCTAATCTATGGGCTCTGAATTCAAAAGAAAATCCGACGGGGTCTGGACTGTTTGCAGCGTTGAACCCTAAACCCATAAACACACGGTACCGCCTTACCCCAACGCAGACACACAACAGAACTGCATCCTCGAGCTTTGTCCCGGACCAGCCCGTGGAACTACCACTGTAAAGTTCAGGGGGTTAATGTAGAAGCCTGATTAAGAAACCTTGGGCCTTTATTAGGGTTCCTTATAAGAATCCTATTATTTGGGGTGTTATAGGCCCCGGGGTTCTTAATCAGGTTCCTACACTAGGGTCTAGGATCTACAGACGGCTACCATTTGCAGGACGTATAATGATAATGAAGTCATAATGAACCTCCTCAGGCAGGTTGTTTCAGGGTCCAGGTTAGCGTTACGGTCTGGGGCTTATATACTTCAAGCACTCCCCTGACTTTTGGGTTTCAAGGGATTGTGTGTGGCACCTAGGTCCGCGGGAAACGATGCGCTGGAAATATTCAGGTGATGTAATATTATGTAGGGTAGACCGTTTTGTTGCAGGGCACGGGCAAGAAGGAGCCATTATGAATGATCATGCTATACTGTGGACCTCTCATGGCTAATGTTGACCTAGGATTAATAATCCCCCTACGATTAAAGGCGGCCTGCGGGCGGCTCCGGCCCCAATCTGTACTACTTTAAAGGCAGCACCCAAATAAGGATCGTTTTTTGCAGAAAACCCCCACGATTAAAGGCAACACCGTCTGGGGATCTAAAATTTCAAAAAGTGCTTCGAAGACTACTTTTAAAGGGGGCAAGACTTGGTCTAGGCCTAAACCTTCCCCGATATTAAACTTGAAACCTCATTGGCCCCAAAACCGCTTCACGTTTTAATCCTCCAAAGTGGTGATTTCAACACTACTTGCTGTGTCGTTTCAAGCCCCCAAACAGGCTTTTTGAGCTATCCCCAGCAATCGTGTGTCACCCACGATTAATCAACGTCCCACGATTAATCAAACTCCTGTGGCACTGCTACTGCTACTGCTACTGCCACCGCTACTACTGCTGCTACTACGACTACTACTACTAGCACCACTGTTTACTGCAATTTGGCTTCACGGGATTATTTGGGGGTCTGTGATCCTGTGGGGGGCCTGCGACCTTGACAACCTTGAGGGGGGGGGGCGGGGGTCAACATTAACCCCCCGCTTTCAGGGTCTCAGTGTTAGGAGCAAGAACACAAGTTTAGCGACATGTGGGGGGAGTCGCGAACTAGGGGCTCTGCATTTTCAAGTGGGTTTGTTGATTTCTAGTAGTCAAACAAGGAAATCAAGTAATTACACGCTCGTGAGACCTGCGCAGACTCCTCAAAACCCCTGCCCCATTTTATGTGACAATGACCATGGTGAAGTACCCCATCATCTAGGCAAATAGGCCTCCTATCCAAGAGGGTCCGAAAAAACACACAATTATGGACAAGTCCCTGAAATGGTGTGCTTGGGCCTAATTCCGTAAAGGTAGTATATATGGACTCGAAAATATAGGAAGTAGGCCTCGTAACCAGCAAAAGGGCCCGAACAAGCACTGGACGAAGGTCGTCAAAACCATGCTAAGGACGGTCTGCTTGGGCCTAGTTCCATAATGGTGGCATATATATATATATATGTATATATATATATATATATATATATATATATATATATGGTCTGAAAAAATGGACTCTCTAGGCATGCCCAAAATCGGAACAAGAACAACCCCTAAAACATTATCGGTGTTTCCTAAGGAAATACCAAGCAATCCAGATCCCAGAAAAAAAAAACTCAGGCAATCTCAGGCAGCAGCCACTTCATCCCTTCACCATCGGCTTGCTCCTGTGCTTCGCTCACTTGTAGAGGTGCCATATGATGGTTTTCATAGAGATTGATATGGGGAGTCTTTATCAGATTTCAACATGAGTTTTTGATACAAAGGCCTTGGGTTAAGGGTTCGGGCCTTCATCCTAATGCTGGGCCCGGGCTGAAGGATTAAAAGCGTAAGTTTGCATTTGAGGAATAGGTAGTGCTTATTAAAATGTTTAAAGTTTAAGGCCTAGGGCTTAGGGCTTAAGGTCTAGATGGGTCTAGGGTGCGATCAAGACACCAAGTGCGACTCATGATTTGCAGAACTCTCTTCAACACCACTCATAATAAAAACACTTTAGCCCAAACAGGTTGACGCAAAAGGAACTACGGGATGATACTGCTGGTGATCACAGGAAGTTATGATAGTGTGCTATCTGATAGTGCTTTATGTTATGCTGCTGGATGGCTGGGGCGTTGAAACCCTTGAGTTTGGTTTAATACTTGGGCATTGCGCCTAATATAAAGATTCTTGGAGTGGTACATAGATTCTACTGTCCAGGGATTTGGGGGCGTTGTGAAGTAGTACTGCAGCAATTCAACACAGCCAGCAGTGCTAGTCATTGCCGTGGCTCGATTGCGAGATGATCACCGAAACCCTAAGCCCTAAAACCTATACCCTAAACCCCCCAAACCCCGTACTATGGATTGAACACATGACTTCATGGAGTGTGAAGATTCCGACACTTCGTACTTAGAGCCTATCGGGATCTGGTTCTGCCTTCGAAAGCCATGTTTAAACATACCGGTCTTTTGTCTAGCATCATCCTAAAGTGGTTTCAGGAGGTAATCAAACAAATGCAACTATAATGGCAATCGTAGAAGCATAGCTCAGGTCAATTCGGGTCCCTTTCTGATACTTCCACCTTGTCGCTAGGAATGGAGGAATCGGCTTCCAGCGTCGCGAGAAGTGGGACTTGTGATTTGAAGTGTTGAAAAGCCATGAGCCCCAATTAATGGGTGTAATTGCAAGCAATATATGCGATGTCTACATTCAACATTGCACTTTTTGGAACCAAAGCACACCCATGAATCCTTGACCCTGTCGGCTCCTTGCGACCGCGAGCCACGCGGTCTGCGAGCGGGGCATGCACGAGCCTGTCATCATCTCGGTTTGAGGTCTTTAGGGACTTGAAGCTGCTACTCTATACAGCCTTTCTTGGGGTGTAGGGTTTGGGGTTAATTAAACCCTAAACCCTGAACCCTAGATTTGTATTAGGGTTTAGGGTTCAGGGCATAGACCTAAGCCTTACATCCAATATCTCTGAAGGTGAGGAGCACCACACTTGACCCAGGAAGCCACAGAACAACCCCAGCCCACAAAACTGAAAGCTAAGTATTTCTAGTTAATACAGGGGCCTTATTTTGGGGCCCATTTTCTTTTAGTTCTAATAAGGAGCCCCAAATAGTATAACGTCCTGTTCCTCAATTCCTCAACATCTGAATCGAAGCTGCTTAGTATAAACTTCTGTCATCGTCATAACACTATTGTTGATAAAATAGTATCGGCAGGATTATGGTTGTTATTATTATTGTGGTTATTATTACAGATTATGAATACGAACCAGATCACTCCAATCATTCAGCTGCGAAGGAATCCGTGAGAAAGAGGGTTCAGAACTCCTGGGCAACCGCCTCCCCTGGAAGTACTCGGCCAAGTCAGCATGTAGTTGTGGGTTTCGGGGTTCGGGTTGCCCGCTTTACGGCTTTAGGGTTTAACCTAAACCCGAAACCCTAGACCCTAATTAGTTTAGGGATGCTTGGGCTTTAGCTCTACTTGTGATGGTTTGGTTTGGCGTCTAGGGTGACCCGAAACTCTTCACCCGCCGTGTACTCGGGGCAACCATGCCTAGACCCCCCAACTATCCTGACCCACTGATAAGGGCCATAAGGACTCTATTAAAGGGTCCTTGCGGGGGGTCCTGGTAGTGTGGTTTGATTATTGTGAGATCTTTAGGTTAAGTTCCTCAACAAATACGAATCTTGGCTTAGGTTTCCGTATTATGATATAGGTTATTAAGTTCTTCGACAAGTACGACATCTTGGCTTAGATCTTGTGGGCAGACAATGCTCAGGGTTCGTTCTCGAGAGTCCAGTGGGAATCTGGGACTCTTGGGCGGATGAGGGTGAAAGGTTTACGCCGAGAGTATAAAGCCTGTTTCGGAAGCTTGTCGTGCCCTAAGGGTCCATGTACCCAAATTACTTTGGCCCCGAAGCACCTGCATAGGGACACTTTAACGCTACACGAATACATGGGCCCTGCGGAGGCTTGTGCTAAAGAAAGGGGTTAGAATGCTAGAGGGTTTCGAAAGTCCGAACCCGACCCTAAACCCTGAACCTTAACCCCTAGACCCAAACCTCCCAAAATGGAGCCTGCCAGACACTCCGAGGCCCCTCCAGCGGCCGAGCACAAACAACCCTAATTCTGAACCCTGAACCCGAAGCCCTAAACCGTTTAGGGGTTCGGGGTTTAGGGTTCAGTAGGGCTCAGGGCCTGCACCGGAAGCCTAGACCGAAGAAATCAAGCTCCAAACAAGGGCCGGCCTCTTGTTGTTGTGGAAGGCCGGGTGCTTGCACCATTTTGCAAGCCTTGTCGATCCGAAGACAAGGTCTAAGGGGCCCAGAAATCCCCAAACCCTGGCAACCCCAACCCTACTTGAAGGTTCATGGGTAACTATATAACTGGGGTTATAAGTCCCCTAATAAGTGTTATAAGTTATAAGTATGGTCACCTTGCTTATAGCCCTCGTATAACTACCCATGAACCTCCAAGCAAAACACAGACGTCTCCCGATGTGCACCCATGGGAACGCAGTGCGTGGGCAGTAAGAAAGCAGTAGAGCGGTAGGTCCTAAACCACATTACCGGCCAGTCTCCGATACTGCTAACATTTCTGTGAACATACCTGCGCACGGCTTCGAACGGCATGTGAGTTACGCTGAGGTTTATGCAAGCTGCGACACAAAGTCTCTTGTCTCAGGTGTAGCAAAATGGCCCCAGATCCAACAAAGTATAGACCATCAACCCCGACATTTACCTTGAACCCTGTGTTGCTAAAGCCCATAACGTCCATGACTGCTTGTAGCCAAGCGTCTCCGCTGCTTTCGTTATGGCGGCCTCCACAACTTTGTCCTCCGGGTGGTGCATGGGTTAGAGTTTAGGAAGGGATAGGCAATAAACCTAAACCCGAAACCCTGAATAAGGTTTGGATACGCCCCAATCCCTATGAGAGGTAAGCCCGACCCTTAAGCTCCTTTCGAACCCAATCGAAACAGCTCGCTGAACCCGAACCCCCAAACCCTAAAAGCCACGAAACCCTGCAACCTGAACCCCTAAACCCTTAAACCCCACAACCCGAACCCCTAAACTCTCTAAACCCCCACTAAACCCTAAACCCTAACGCTCAAACCCGAACCTTCCAAGACCCCGCCTGGGGCACCGCCTCGTCCAAGAAACCAATGACCTGGGCCCGCCTCGAATTCGCTTTCGGGTTCCTTCGAGGGTTCCTTTTTGAACCCCCGTTTTTTTCAGGGGTTTCCTTTGAAGTGTACCAGAGGGTTCAAAAAGGGGTTCCTTTGAAGTGTACTAGAGAGTTCAACGGTCCCTCTAAAGGGTCCGGATCCAAAAAAGGGCCCCTTTGTCTTGTTTGGACTCGGGTTTAGGGCTTTGGGGTGTAGGTTCAGAGTTCAGGGTTTATGGGGTTAGGGGTTTTTTAGAGCCGTTGAAAGAAGCGTTCTGGTTCAGGGTTGTGGGTTTTAGGGTGTATCCTGGAAGCTGGGGATCCTATGGGGCCTTTATGAGCAGTTTGGGCGTAGGCTGTCGCAGGACCCAAGTGCCATTTTTTAGAATCCTTATGGTCCTTAGCGGTGGCAGGTTCTTTGGTCGGAATGTGCGATTTCTCTTGATGGTTCATGTGTTGTCGGGCTACTTGAGCACGGTTGTCCTTGGTCCGGAAGCTCCTGTGACAGTGCCCGTCATTTGCAAAGCTTCGTCTTCTGAGATGGGACTCAGTGGTCTTGACATTGTTGTGCATGGGGATCGAGAGAACTTGCTTGAGAGTGTGTTCCGGGATCCGGCCAAGCATCGGCCTTTTGTAGGAAACTTGTTTAATGCATTGGGATCCATTCGCAGTGAACAGGCCACAGGAAGAAGGCATTGTTGAGAAGAGCATTTGTCTTGTGAGAGAAGCTTCTTGGTCTGCTTGGTTCCTAGGGTTTCGGGTTTAGGATGTAGGGTGCAGGGCGTAGGGTTTTAATACACGGATCAAAAGAAAGTTCTGAATTAAAGCCTTTAGCTTCCACAAACCTGCGCAAGAAGGACACATACAGACTTCGAGCTTGCCATGGGATTTGTGTGGTTTCGACATCCGTTTTTCTAGCTTAAGAAGGGGAGCTAAAGCTCCCTGCATTTACAGTAGAAGCCAGAAAGTTGGAATATCATTATCGTATCCCCTTTGTGGTAAATTATTGGGTATCCTACCCTGAAACCATATTCCAACTTTCTGGAGTTCCCTGTAAAGGGAGGGGGGGGGCTTTTTGTTTGCTCTCTCTCCCTCCCACCCTCTCCTGCTAGAACCTTTGCATAGATACATGCATGCATACTAAGGCCATAGGTGTTTGTCTTTGATGCACCAGGCAAATCCCGAATCCGATTCGTGACCATGCACAAAGCATCCATCCAAGCGGCTCAGCGTCGAAGATTAAGCCCAGAGCCACGGCTTCCCTACAGGGTCTAAAGGTTTTGGGCTGAGGTTTAGAGAACAATAAACTCTGTCTAGTGAGAGCCGAAGGTTTTTAGTGGCAATTATTAGTAATTCATCATAAGTGGGTTTTGTCGAAGATACATGCTGGTATATCAATTAAGCAGGAGTCCCAAAGCAAATAGCATAGGCCATTGTTCAAGCTTCCACATTAAACATGAGGCACTCGTCTGGGAAAGATTCAAAACTCATAAGTTGGCACGACGGAAGGCGCGGGTCGGGTTTAGCTTTTCAGGCTTCGGGATCTGAGTTGAGATCGACCCAGTCTGAAGTAGGGTTTAGGGTTTAGGTTTCAAGTTCAACCCAACAAGTGCAAGTGCCTGGTCTTCGGACAACAACGTGTTCGAATGGATCCGGGTGTAGGGCTCCGGGCCTAGATCTTTAGATCAGTAAGGGTGGGCTCGGATATCAAAAAGGGTTGAATTCCAACATCATGGCCTCAGCCTGTTATGCTGAGGAGTTCACGGGTCGTTTCATCAGCTCGTCGAGCTCCAGAAGCACATTGTCCGTGATGGTCTGCTTGCTTGAAGATGCCCAAAACGTGCCGATGTAGACAAGCTGGGGCAACGAAGCTGGCTTGCTGTTGATGGCCATGACAGCTCGGGCAAGCTCTGCATCGTACATTGACCCATCCGTGTTCTCGGGTCCGGGTCTGCAGTGCTGTGGTCAGCAACTGCACGAGGAAGGCTCGGCTTTCGCTGGACATCCCGCTTTGCATGTCTCGCCCTTGGACGAAGTGTGGGGCTTTGTGAAGTTGCTGAGGTACGGCAGTGCCATCAGCTGGTGCCGGAGTCGAGTTGCCAGCAGCACTTCCCAGGGTTTAGGGCCGCTTAGGGTGTCCAATCGAAGTAGAGGTGTCGTGGCTGAAACTAGTTGATGACCTCAAAAACTCAACACCATAACTTTCCAATCCTAAACCCCAAGTACGATGCAAATCCTAAACCCGAAATGCTAAACCTTGCGTAGGGCAGGGTCTTTGCAACCAGGATGTTACTATATAGGACCTACATTCATTCTAGGGTCCAATGATAGTTACCTCCCTAAACCTTAAACTCGAAACCCTAACATCGCTTCTTAGAAACCTAGTTGCCACTGTCTGAGGAGTTGATGTCTGCCACCAGCCCAAACACGCTAAATCCGACCGCCAAAACCTTAACTTGAGCCCTAACCCCTGAGCCCAAATCACACTCAGCTCCAAATCTTAGACACCCAGAATCCTGAATTCCAAATCCTGCCTTAATCCCAAGTCACCTAGCCTTTTCGGGACTTATTCAAAGAAATCACTTTAGGGATTAGGGAACCCTAAAAAAGGGTAGGTTCCTTAGTATGCAGGTAAACCCCAACTCCCCAACACTCGCCAAGAGCCTCAGGTATTGCGGCGCCAAGGCGTGCCTACTAGGGTTATTGGGGTTTGGGATATAGGGTTTAGGAGCGGGAGTCGGGGTATACATCGGGGGTCTATAGGGGTTTAGGGTTTCGGTGTTAGGGTTTAGGGCTGCCACGAATTAGGGCTATTGGGGTTTGGGATATAGGGTTTAGGAGCGGGAGTCGGGGCATCGGGGTTTATAGGGGTTTAGGGTTTCGGTGTTAGGGTTTAGGGCTGCTACTAATTAGGGTTATTGGTGTTTGGGATATAGGGGTTCGGAGCGGGAGTAGGGGTATACATCGGGGGTCTACAGGAGTTTAGGGTTCGGTGTTAGGGTTTGGGGCTGCTACTAAACAGGGTTATTGGGGCTTGGGATATAGGGGTTAGGAGTGGGAGTTGGGGTATACACCGGGGGTCTATAGGGGTTTTACGGTTTCGGCGTTAGGGTTTAGGGCTAAGAGTTTGTAAGCAATCTTGTTCATAAACTTGTGCGGCCTCTGTACAGGTCTACAAAGGCCTTCAACATGGGGCTTCTCTGGGTTTGCCCTAAACCCTAAACCCTAAACCCTGAGCAAGGCACCCTTCGACTTGGGGGATCTCTAGCTAAGCCCTCAACCCAACACCCCCAACCCCGACACCGGAAAGCCTGAACCCTGTACCTCCCTCACTTCGAGGGATTCAGGAGTGTGGCTTTCCAGCTTGGCTGACTTGGGGTTTGGGGCTTTAAACTCCAGACTCTGGGTGGGGGCGGGCTTTTGAGGTCCTGGGCCTTGGCCTAAGCCCCCACTAACTTGAAACCAAGCCGTGGCTTAGTACACAGGAGGGGCTCAAAGCCCAAATCTCAAAACCCGAAAACACCATGTAACCTCCGTTAGTATAGCACTATGAAGGCCAATTTGATACTGAATCATATAACTGCTGGAAACTCTATAGAACCTCTTGAATGAAACCTTATAAACCCTCTCACCCGTAAAAACCTCAGACAAGCACGAAGGACTGAAGGTGCGACGGTTCAAGGTTCAGGGCTGCGGCACCAGCCAAATACAACAAACCCAAACGAGCGTGGGGCTCTAACCAAATGAACTCCTGCCCTGCCCTCTACGGTTGATAATATGAATCCTGCATTACCGTAAGGACCATAAACTATGGGATTTATGGTATATTCCTGATTATGGGTAATGCTGGATTTATATCATCAACCGTAGCACCCCAAACCCAAAACTTCTTGAACCCAGCAACAAGACAAACAAGCATCGCTGCAACCGAGGAGAAAGGCCAGTGCCCATTCGGATTCAGGGTTCACATAGGGTGCAGAAAGCAACGCAGGCCTTGCACCCTCGCAAAAGAAGTTGGGCATGTTCCTGGCTGCGCCGGGGTCTCAGGGAAAGTAGGGGCTTCAAGGTTAGGGTTTAGGGTTCAGGTGGGTGGGGTTGTGGGGTGGGGTGGGTGGGTGGGTGGGTGGGGTAGGTGGTGATCCATGATAATCCCAATAAATCTACTGGCACAGTATGGATTACCCCGCTTCGAACCTCCCGCAGTCCTGAGACCTACCTGAACCTACCATAACCTACTTCCCCAGAATTCCTATATTCGGGCTTATCATAAGGCACTCCAAGAAACAAGGCTATGGTAGCTCAAGGTAAGGCTTTAGAGTTGCCCCGAGCTGAAGGTAGAGGAGAGTGTCTGGCTAAAGTTGCACGTCTTCTAGCAGTCTCGGCTGGAATCCCAGAGTTTGCCGGGAAGCTCTCTTCCAGTGCAGGAGGCTTCGAAACTTTGGAGCTTCAGGTTACAGGGGTTCCGGGCTGTAGTGCAAGTGGAGACGAGGTTTCAGGGCTTAAAGTTGTGGGCATGGTGTTTTCCTGGCAGGGTGGTGACCCGACCATGGCTTTGCAACCATCCATGAGACAACCACAACACTCCATACCTTAAGCCCCAAATCCTAAACCCTAAACCCTACATAGCACTGTATCATCCCTTGTAACTCTGCCGACGGCAACCAAGTTATCATGACATGAGTCTCGACTGGTTATGACGAGAGAACTCTTCTGGTGCCCAAGAGGGGCCTAAATTGTAGAACAGTCCGTCTGGCGCAGAAGCACATCGGCAGCAAGCCGTGGAGGAATATTGTTGTCTGACACACGCAACAACAGGATAGCTGCAGTCGTCGTTGGTGTCAATATGACGGTGATGATGGTGATGACGATGAATGGCACTCAGTAAAATTTGATGAAGACGAAGGAGGTGATTACACGGCCGCCATTGATGTTACACGAATACCAATATCTTCTGCAAACCCAATGCTCCAAGACCCTAGAACCCTAAACCCTGAAACCTGCACTTGAGTCCAAGGCGCATGCCATTTGCAGTTTCATTCAGACCCACTTTCAGCGGCTTGCCGCCGACCTCGTCACTGCGCGCTGTGTTGAGCGTTAAACGTTCGAGCTCTTCTGGCTCATCGCTTTGAAGGCTATATAGCTAGGGGCTACGAAGTTCCAACAACCTAAGTCCTTTATGAACTTCTCAGAAAGCAAATCCCCGCCACAAACCCTATCTTTCAAATCTATCCTTACCGGGAGGGTCCATGTTTCTACTTATGTGCTTCGGTCCTCCAGGGGTTCCTGGTTAGGTACACTTGGATCATAGTAGAGTTCTGAAACGGTGCAAATGAACGCAAGAACCTAGAGGGTTCATTGCAACTTCGGGCCTTTGGTTTCGTGTCGAGGGCCTGGATGGCATCCGGTTTATCCTGATGCCAAACCCTAAACCTTACACCCCAAAGCCTCAATCCCAAAGCTCGAACCCTAACCTTCAAGCTTCACCCCCAAAGCCAAAGCCCAAAGCCCAGGCCAACAAGCCAAATCCTAAAGCCTAAACCCTAAACCCTAAACCCTAAACCCTAAACCCTAAACCCCAAATCCTAAAGCCTAAACATGCCTAAGCGAAACCTACGAGCTCTAAGAGTGCCCGCTCGACATATCTGAATGTTGGGGCATGGAGAAGTACTGTACTCTGTTGGGCCTTGAAGCTGGGTTTTACCCCACAGCAAAAGTCTAAGAGTACTATTCAGGGCCTTCTATATCCGTATATGATATAAACATTATTCAACTGTTACTGAGTGGCAGCAATCCAACCTTGAAGCCTGAAAGACCTAAATCCAAGCGAAGCCCTCTAAAGCGAAGCTCCTGAGTCTCCTAAACCCCAGACCCTAAAGTACACACCAAACGCTAGCCCTAAATCCCAAACCCCAAACCAACAAAAAAAAACACCTCGACTCTTCATTTCTTCATCCCGAGACCTCATCCCAAAAAAAAACCTTAAACCCTAAATCCCCAAAGCCCTAAATTGTTCATCCCCAAACCCTAAATCCCAAACGAACGGCTCTGAAAGAGTCCAAGAGTCCGTGGACGCACCGATCCGATAGTCTCCTCCGCAACAACAACACAGATAAACGAAACGTTGAGGGTTTAGGGTCCAGGGTTGTACTTTAGAACATGGCTACTGTATGGGGTTTACTTTAGGGGTTCACGGGCTACATAAGGGTTAGTGTATGCAGGATACTTTACGGGTGTACGTAGGGGTCGTAGCTCCACAGGAAAACCCCAGACATAAACATATAGTCTTAGAGTTTAGGGTTGGGGTTGAACGTCGTTTAGCCACAACTAAACTGGCTGAGTTCAGAAGCCCAAATTAGGGTTTAGGGTTTGCAGGGTTGGTTTACGGCTTCCTCTTTCGGGCATGAAATGATCACGGAGGAAAACACAAGATCTGAACATGTAGTAACTTCACTGGGGAGCAAATCTACTCATCGAGCTACTGAACAGTAGCTTCATCACCTTTTCCGTGGGATCCCTGCCCTGCCCTGCCTTGCCCTGCCCTGATCTATCTCTCCCAGATCCCGCGAAGCTGGATCCTGCTTAATCGCACCCTAAACCCTAAACCCCTAAACCCAAGCTGGGAATGAAGCCTTGTGCAGTCCAACTGACCACTTCAGGTAGCCTCCAGAAGAGACGGCTCAAACCCAAAGCCCGAACAACCCCGAAGCCCTAGCCCTAAAGCTTGAAACCCCAAGCTCAAGAAGCCCTGAGCCCTAAAACCCCTAAACCCCTAAACCCCTAAACCCTAAAACCCCTAAACCCAAACCCTAAACCCAAACCCTAAACCCTAAACCCCTAAACCATTTCAGCCTCGAAGCCCCCCTCGGACCGTACAGACTGAATTCCCCCGGTCCTGTCAGCAAGGCAAAAGCTCCCAAAGCAATGGCATGGCCTCACCATGGCAAATGGCTCCTTTAAAGGGATCTATAAGGGTTCTATAAAGGGTTTTATGGGCTCTTTATCAGGGTTTAGGGGATTAGGGTTTAGGGTTTTGGGGTTTAGGTTTTGGGGTTTAGGGGTTTAAGGGTCTAGGGGCT